ATTTGTAATCATTAAATAAATATAATTTTATTTGTGTGATGAACATCTTAATTTTATAAGGACTTGTTATTTTACTTCTGAAGTTGTAATTTAAAATTTATCAAAAATGTCTGTGTTACATGGATTCTTGAAAACAAATCAAGTAACCATATCAGACACTTGACACCTAGATAAGTGTATCATATGTATGGTCGATACTTCTCATCAGGTATGCACATATCCACAATTTTAGCCAAAAAAAATTTTGTTCTGAACTCGCTGTTATAAACCACGATTTAAGCCAAAAAAAATTTTCTTTTGAACTCGCTGTTATAAACCACGATTTTATCCAAAAAAAAAAAAAGGACTTGTGTACTCAAAACATATATATTAAAATGTGATCAGAACATCACTTATGTTGTTGGTAGCTCAAGTGGTAGTGCAATGGTGATGCCCAGGCAGAGGCGTGGGTTCAAACCACGCCAACTCCTTCTCAATTTTCAAACAACTCAATTTTCAAACAACTACCTCGGCATCACCATTGCACTACCACTTCAGCTACCAACAACATAAGTGATGCTTTGTTCACATTTTAATATATATGTTTTGAGTACACAAGTTTTTTTTTTTTTTTTGGGATAAAGTCATGGTTTATAACAGCGAGTTCATAAGAAAAATATTTTTGGCTAAAATCGTGGTTTATAACAGCAAGTTCAAAACAAAATTTTTTTGGACTAAAATCGTGGTTTATAATAGCGAGTTCAGAAGAAATTTTTTTTTGGCTAAAATCGTGGTTCAGAACAGCGAGTTCATAATAATTTTTTTTTAATTAAAAGCGCATTTTGTAATCGTGATTTCTTAATCAAAATTGCGTTTTGTAACCACGATTTTAAGATTTTCCAAATTCCACGCGGGACAGGCCCAGAAATGTTGAAATCGTGGTTGTGAACCGCAAGTTAGCTTATTTTGGGAATTGAATTAGTATTTTGACTTATTTTGGGAAATGGCCCTAGGTTGTGACCTTATATAAATTATAAAGTGTTGGTAAACTTGATTTATACATAAAGAAATTTGATTTATACATATTCGTGACCACGCTTGTAAGTAAAATATGTAAAAACGTGTTTTCAAAACACATTTTGAACAAAAATTCAAAACCAGCACTCCCTCTTATTTGTCACAGACACTGACACTCACTCTCTCTATCTCTCTGTCTGACACAGACACCAACAACACTTGCACTCACATGAAACATATATAATTTTTAATATATATAAATTTTATTTTATAAAATTCAGAACAATTAATTTTTTTTAGGCTTGCATCTTATCTTAACTATGACTATGTCTTCAAAATAAGAAATGTTCATCCTTTTGATTAATAAGACCTGAGAAGCATGGATATGAACACATGACACATGGACAAGCTGACACGACAATTTTTCAAAATTGCCATTCAACAGATTATCTATAATTAAAATTCTTCACATTCAACAAATTATCTATACTTAAAATTTCACAAATATAAACCGTAACCCTAATTTATTATTTCTGATTTCACAACATTTTATTCACGAATATAAACCCTAACCCTAACCCCACATTTATGAACCCTAACCCTAATTTATTCACAAATATAAACCCTAACCCTAACCCCACATTCATGAACCCTAACCCTAATTTATTCAAATTTTCACAAACATAAATATATTCACAAATTTAAACTCTAATCCTAATTTATTCACAGTAAAGTAGATGATAGAAACCATACCAACGAGAGAGAGAGACAGTACTGAATCAATTAGAGGGAGCTCCAGAGAGAGAGAGAGAGCAGCGAGCTCCAGAGAGAGAGAGAACAGAGAGTAAAGAGCGAGAGAGAGACAGCAGTGGAGAGGAGAAGAAAGCGTGAATAGAAAACACGGGGCTGGGGGGGTTTAAATAGAAGTTCTAAAATCGTGGTTGTGAACCACGATTTCACTTAAAGAAAAAATATTTGGTCTAAACTTGTGGTTATGAACAGCGAGTTCAGAAGAATTCTATTTTTTGATGAACTCGTGTTTTGAAAAAGCGATTTCAGCATGAAATCGTGCTTGTAAAAAGCGAGTTCAAAGGAAAGAAATTTAATCAAACTCGCGTTTTCTAACAACGAGTTCTTAATCAAACTCGCTTTTCCTAACAACGAGTTTCAACTTTTGCAGGTTTCAGGCGACGAGGGTGGAAAAGTGTTGAACTCGCGATTGTGAACCGCGAGTTAGCTCATTTTGGGAAATCTTTCAAAACTAGGCTTAGTTCGGGAATTCCTTTATTATTTTGGCTTATTTAGGGAAATGGCCCCAATTAATGAGTTAAATAGAGTATTGAATAATTTATCATGACATCTTCATTAAGCCAATTCTTAGTCTTATTGTGCATTCTTATTCCTAATAATTTTTTTTCACATTTTATTGAATTTTTAAGCGCACAATTTTTTATCACATAATCAAACTCAAGTGTCCCATAAGAGATAGGTTTTCTTAGAATGTATGGGTTATACCTCGTATGAGAGAGTTGTGTTCAATTTAATGATCAAATTTTATGTACATGTAATAATTGCATTTTTAAAAAAACTTATGCAATCTATATTAAATAAGGTCTAAACTAGTTTAATCTCGTCAATATTAAGAATGTTAGATTAATTTATATATATGGATTTCAAAAATGAATTGACTATTTAGTGGATCTACTAGATCGAACTGAATTGGTCGAGTTATCTTTGAAATCGAAAAGACTCCACTTCAGTTTCACTTAAGGATTGGCTTCTCTCCAGTCTTGTCTGGCCCATTGAACTCGTTTTTAGGCTTTGTTTTGATAATGTATACCATTCATATTTTAAGATTCATCAAGTACATCATCTCTGCAAAAAAATTAAGTCGATCAGATAACAACAAACACGTGTTCAGATCAGTTGCTAATGTGGCATCCAAACTTTATTGGAAATCTTATTTTATCCCAAACTATCTCCAAAATATTAATTAGTCCCATGATTAAAAGTTTGGGAGTCTAATTGATATTTTATAGATAGTTTGAGGGGTAAAATAAAATTTCGATGTCATGTCAGTAACTTTTGTTTGTTTATAAACACAACTAATAATATAGGTAAAATTGATCTAAAATTAAACAATTTATATACATAAAATTGATATTATTAAAATAATATGGGTTGAACCCATTTTTGAATGATAATTTAAGAGGCAAAAATATTCTGCACTATTTTTTTTTCATATTTTCTGACGGGCTCTCAGATCGTCATGATTGACCACGTTTCACTGTACAATGAACTAATCCCATGGGCAAAATGATGGGGCCAAAGTTGAGCATCAAACCCTAAGTCCAAGCTGAGCCCAACGCAAATCTCATTCGGGCTAATAGCCCTGTTTGGTAGAGCTGTGGGAAAGTACTTATAACTTATACCTAAACAGCTTATAGCTTATAACTATGAATATAACCTGATTTCTGATTTATTCTTAAAGCATCTACTGCCCCACTCAAAGAATAAACTGATTTCTGACTTCCAAAAAGTTATAAGCTATAAGCTAAACCAAACACATCAAAATAACTTAAATTAAGCTGAAAGCTAAAATAAACTGATTATAATTTCTGCCAAACAGGCACAATCTAACCCGCTTGAGATATAAACTTGAACATAATAAAAGACCATCAGACCGCGAATATTCAGATCAAATGATGATTCTTACCGAAACTTAGTTACAAGCGTCTACACCTAATGATAGAAAAAACTAACTTAGAGGTTGGCTGGATTAAACCAACCCCTCCTAAGCCCAGGATAAGGATCCAGGCTGCAGGACATTTGGTCGAAATAACCAAACATTCTATTCTAAGTTGGGTGGAAAAACTAACTTAGAGGTTGGCTAGATTAAACCAACACCCCTCCTAAGCCCAGGATAAGGATCCAGGCTGCAGGACGTTTGGTCGAAATAACCAAATTTTTTTTTTCTAAGTTGACTGGAAAAACTAACTTAAAGGTTGGCTGGATTAAACCAACTCTTATTACTCTTTAGCCGAAGTAAGGACATCGGCTAAAGAGTGGTTGGCTGGATTAAACAACTCTTGGTACTCTTTAGCCGATGTAAGGGCACCGGCTAAAAAGTGGTTGGCTGGATTAAACCAACTCTTGTTACTCTTTAGCCGAAGAAAGGACATAGGCTAAAGAGTGGTTGGCTGACTCTTACCTAAACTTAGGGTTGGTTTGGGATGTCTTAAAAAAGTGCACTTTTTGACTTATTGGTGGGTTTGGATTGGGTTTGGGTTGGGTTTGATGTGATGTGTTAGAGAGGTGATGTGATTTAAATAAGATGATGTGACTTAAATAAGATAGTGATTTTTTGACTTTTTGACTTATTTAGTACATGCCAAACTAGCCAAGCGTCTACACCTAATGATAGAATAAATTTTAAATATAATGATAATATCAATATAACGATCTAAGTAATATTAATTTATGATAGGAATTCTAATAACGAGTTTAACAAATTGATAGTGCTACATGTATAAATTATTATACTAATTAATAAATTAATATTCTAATTTTAAAATTATACTCTACACAGGTTAGAGACTTTAAATAATTTATTAAATTTTTTATTAAATTTTTCACATATCACATGTGAATTTATATGAGTCTCATAAAATTTTGATAAAAGATTTATTAAATTATTTAAAATTTATAACATTTTTCTTATATAAATTATAAAGATTTAAAACTAATAAAATTATATCACAATTATCTATTAATACCTTAATAATAATTGATATGCCAATTTATGGGCATTACTTTATTGTTGATCCATTTGTTATTTTCACATTTAACTGACACATCATGTCCTTGCTTTTAATACGACTATTATAAGATTAGTGACTTCCTCCACCGTCACCACCACAACTGCCCCGGTCGACCGGCGTCTCTGAAAACGACCGCGCGTGTTTTATCATCACCACAATCGCGTCTATATACACTCTCCTCCTCATGCACATTACATATACATACACCTCTCACTCTTTCTTCACTCTCTCTCTCTCTCTCTCTCTGTCTATTTCTCTTGTAAATATGCTGGTGGTGCTGGCACAAATCCAACCCTGCAAACCTCCGGCGATTCACCGGCGGTGAGAGATGGGCAAAACATCGAGATGGCTCCGGGCGCTTTTAGGTGCCAAAAAGTCCTCCTCCGATGATTCTGCCCCATCCTCGGAATTTTCTCAGGCCAAAAAGGAAAAGAAAAAGTGGGGTTTTATCAGATCTTTCAACGCCAACAATGATCGCATCAACAACAACAGTGGTAGTAGGGCCAGAGGATCATCGTCCTATCCCGAGGCCGCCTCTAATAATTATGCCGAAGCAGTAGACGCCAACAAGCACGCGATTGCGGTGGCGGCGGCGACAGCGGCGGTGGCTGAGGCTGCTCTCGCGGCGGCGCATGCGGCGGCGGAGGTTGTGAGGCTAACTAGTGGTGGTGGTCGGAGTAGAGCGGCAGCGTACGGTGGAGGGAGTGATCGGTGGAGGGAAGGGGCTGCGGCGGTGAAGATTCAGTCGGCGTTCAGAGCTTATCTGGTTAGTGATTCTGGCCACACTTTTCGTTCCCTATATTGACCCTTTTGCTTCCTCGGAATTACAGGGGTCTGTTTGGCTGACCTGGCAATTCTGGTGGTCGGGGTCTTTGGTTTTAAAAACAAAATAAAATTTATTGTCTTTTTTTTTTTTTATAAAAAAAAAACACAGAAAATTTATTGTGTTTATAATGTAAAGCCATGAAACATTAATCTTAGTTGCAGCTCTTATGATTTTAAAAAAAAAAAATCACATCTTTAAAAAATAAATCACTATAACTATACTAAAATTATGAAGTTAATTGTGATATTTTTTTTTTTTTATTATTAAATTTTGCCAACGTTTTTATTGAACTCTTGTTAAGATCAAATAACTATAAAATTTTTCAAATTTTAATATATATTTCACTTAACCCTTGGAGCATCTTTACCCAAACTTTTAATGAAAATTTAGTGTGACAAATTATCAAATTTATTATTATATTATTTTTAAAATTTGAACTCAAAAGGTCATTCCACCTTGATGCTTTAATTGAAAAAAAAAAAAAAAAAAAATCAGGGTTTTCGTGTCAAAATTGACTGAAAGGGAAGGATGATGTCAAAAGTCACATCAATTTTTAACATACTGGGTAGAGTTGATACTTGATGTCAAAATTTGGGGGGGGTTTTGGGAAAAATTTTTTTTTTTTTTTTTTTTTTTTTTTTTTTTTTTTGTGGACTAAAATTCAAAAAATGATAAATTAAGTTAAAATAGTCAATAAGACAAAAATGTCGCATCAAATTCATAATTATTTCACTTTTTATCTCGTAAACATCATATCCAATTACAAAAAATTCAACTCTCTTCTCAAATACAAATATTTTAGCTTATTAAAATAATAAAAAACTAAAATAACTTACTAAAATAACCAACTTCCCAACCGAGGCCACTGTGTTAATTTTACTTTTTATCGCTTACAAGCACTATTTTTCTTATTTTATTTTTGGATTGTTAATTTCATTTATTTAGTCTTTAAAATTTATGTTTTTTTTTTTTGATAAATTAAAATTTATAATTTTTTATCATATGATTTAATTGGAGACCATTATACAACTCACTTACGGTTAAAATTTAATTTCATAGAAAAAAATGTTAACAACTTAGGTAGTATTTAGTTGATTGGGATGAAATGATCATTCCATGGAAGAATTATTTGGATAGATTAAAAAAATAATGACAAATACATTACGAATTGAATCATCTTTCACCATTTTAAGGGAATAGTCCTAAGAAAGATTAAAAAATCACCATTGCATTCTATCTCATTTTGATGAACCAAATAGAGTATAAAAAGTGACGACAAAACACTCATTTTTGTTATTATTTGGAACAAACTACGCCCCACAAGCAAATTATAAGTTGTTCAAATTATAAAATTATATTTTGCCCATTAAATTATATAATTGTCGTCAATTAGACCACATAAACAAAAATTACAAACATTAAGGATTAAATAGATGAAATTGATAGTTTGAAAATGAAATTGAAAAAATATAATAATAGTGTGCAAGTTAAAAGTAAAATTAACACTTCATATATTCTTTTGCCTTTTTTTTTATTATTATTTAAAATTTTTTTGTACTCTTTTTATATATTTAAATAATTATTTTGCACATTTACTAATATTAATCACTGATTTTAGCATTTTTCTTTCTTCATTATGTAGGGAAGTAATTGAACTTCTTGGATAAATTACACTTTTCGTTATATTTTGAGTCAAATTTCACTTTAGTCCATATTATTTGATCATTACATTATAATTTCAATTCTCCTTTTGTCTAAATTTTCGTTAATTTTTTCTACATGTATACCTCAAGACATTGACAAGTGTTCCAAATTAATTTTATCCTCCAATTTGAACGGAATGACCAAATTAAACTTAAAGTGTAGGAATCAAATTATTTAATTTAAAATAATAGAGATCAAATAAAATTTAAGTCAAATTACATGAATTAAAGGTGTAATTTACCTGAACTTTTTTTTTTTGGAGGGGTCATGATTTAGGTTAAAAGTAAGTTAGAAAGGGGTGCACAAAAACTAGTGGGGTTGTGTGTTTTGTCAATGAGAGGGAAATGATTCCATTGTTATCCTTTATAGCATGTGATTGCTGTATGTGTACTTGGTTATAATTGGCTTTCATATACTCTCTCTGATTGTATACTTGTGTTGTGGAAGGGCTGGATTAGAGCATCCCATTAGTGTAATTAAATTTGTGTTAAAAGTGTTTGAATTAATTGACAAATATATATATATAAGTAATATTTAATTGTATTTTAATAATTTATTAATTTAATGAGTACTCAAATAGTGTAGTTAAAATATATATTAAAAAAAAATTAGTATGTTTGGGATGACTTTTTAGTTTTTTACGAAAATATGTGCAAAAAGTAAAGAGAAAAGGAAATCTTTGATTTTTTGGTATATGTTGTTGGCTTTTTAATTTTTTTAGTAATTTTTTGACTTTTTGACTAAAAAATAATGTTTCCAAACGAGGCCTAAGTGGGTATGAAATGTTATAAAATACATGTGAGACCCCAATTCAATCCCTCTATTGGTTAACCGTCTTGCCACATTTAACAAAAAGTTACATCTAACCAACTTAACAAAAAGTTTAACACAATTTTCAAGTTTCATTGGAACACATACAACCCCACTTATCATCAACAAGAACAGTTAGGCCTCATTTGGGTTTCACTTTTTTATGAGATAAAAAAAAAAGTTAATGTATTTAGGAATTATTATTTTTAATTATATGAAAGTACATGAATAACTGGTGTGTTTAACTTGCTTGTTTTGGTGAGTTATTTATTTTATTTAACTTTTGGCTTTTTTAGCCAAAAAGTCAAGTTCCCAAATGAAGTTGACGCCCAAACTCTGCAAGTATTATGGCATGGATAGTTTTGGAATAAAGGATTTTTAAAATGGGATGATCATAAACATTGGGCTGCTTGGTACAATTTATGGAGCTACTTATATATATATATATTATTTTAGAAATTTGTGCTACAGTGTTTGGTTCAGTTTTTTTGCTTGTAGTTTATAAAAAAAAAAACTTAAATAAGTTGAAAAAAGTTAATTATTAGGAAACAATGGGAGAAATTCTTTTAATTTATGCTTTTTGGTTATCAGTTTACAATTTGCTAAAATTCACTCCAAACGGGCTCATTAAGGGATTGTTTGGTTGTTTTTTATTTTTTATATTTCATTAAAAAAAAAAAAAGTTTAAAGCATATAATTTTTGTTTTTGCGCAAAAAATATTTTTGAAAATTTAAAAATCTTTTGGTTGTTTCCTGAGGTTAGATTGTTTTTCGAAAAAAATTTTGAAAATTGTTTTAAAAAATAATTCGCCAAACAAATTTTTTATATTTTTCAAAAAGAAAAAAAGAAAAAAAAAGGTGACTGTGGGTAGGGGGAGAGATGCAAAGACTCTGGTGGACGTGTCACATGTGAGGTGAAAGCTTGTATTGACCAAATTCAACCTACACTACACAATGTCTGTGCAAGCCTAGACACATAGTCCAACATACACACGACCCTGTCTTTCTTATCCTACCAACATTTTGACCTGTGTTTACGGAAGGGCAAATTCGTCACTTCACAAACTTGACCCTGTTCTGGTTTAATTTAAGCTTATCTATCCCAAGGATCCCATCTACTCTCTCAAAGGAGGACTTCCTCACCTATTCCCAATCAGCCTCATGAACCTAATCACCCACTCACTTCCTGCCAGGTGTTTGGGTAAGCTGGTTAAGCTACTGCTACTGGCACTGCAGTCACTACTTTTTAAACTACCACTTGGTCTACCCATGTTTGGCAACCATGATAAGTACAAACTACAATTGTGTTTTTCAAAATTTTGATTTGAGATTGTATGGAAGAAGATAAGAGGAAGAAGTCTAGGTTCATAGATGAAATTCACAGAAGTGAGTCCTTTGTTCTTGTTGAGATAAAAATAGCATGTAGTTAGATCTAAATCATGATTGCATGTTGTTAGGACAGACTATTTTACCTGGAGTCGGATAAGAGTATTGAGATCGATGCAGGTGTGTGTTCAAAATCTTTCTAAGCCTAAATGAGTAGTGATATATGAACATGAAATACTAATATAAAAAGTTAATACAAAATGATGTGTCAAGTGTTTATTTTGTCAGTTTAAGGCAAATGATCCATTAAGATGACTTATATTTTTAAAAATGTCACTATCACATTATTGATGTTGAAAATACTATACATATATCATTTCCAAACCTAAATATTTGGATATAAAACCATGGTTATCAGAATCCCAATTTGAATTGTAGGATCTTACGATTCTACGACTTGAGTTGGCAAAACGATCTAGATCACACTAGGATCTTAAATTTAGTAGGATCTTAAAGTAATTACAATCTAAGCCATAAAATAATGTAGAATCGCATACGATCCTGATTTTACTACGATTCCCGATTCTACCAAATTTTTTTGTAATTATTTATTTCTTATATATATGTATATCTATATAAAAAAAAAATTTGACTATAAACTCATTTTTCAAACGTCTCCTCTAATTTATGTTAACATAGAATATACATTATATCAAATTTATCAAATTTCTTTAATCTTTTGAAAATTATGTAACAAAGATTATCATTATCGATAAATTTTTTATTTTATTTGCATTAAAAGTAGAATCTTACGATCCTCGATCCGATTCTACGATCCGATCCACAAGTCCCTCCTAATGATCCTCCCCGGGAACCCGATTTTAACAATCTTGATTGAAACATGTATTTAAAAGTTGGGTATGGAGTATGTAGACATGTTCGGAAATTTAAAATGTATTGTGTATTGTATGATATATATTGCATATTGAAATTATATGACACTTGAGACAAAAAGACTCTATCAGATATGAGCTTTTTCTTCTTCGAACATTGTAAAGTTTAAATGATGTTAGTGTCTAATTTGGGCACAAGTGTCATATACATATCACATACTTTTACTCTTGTCATATGCAGTAGACACAAGTCTATTGAATGGAATAGAATAATTCACACTACACTGACCTTGAGACTTGTTATAATTGTTTTTTTCTGCGAAGTTTTTAGTTAACATTTGAATTGTGTTGATCATGTGCAAAGTGATAAATAAAAAAAAAAAAGTAAGGATAGGGCTACCATTATTATACTCTGTTGGAGGCCCATGCTTTGAAATTTTTTTAAAGTTGAAGTAATGATTTTGTCCACCCACCCTTACCTTTCCAAAATTCCATGCTAGTCTGATTTTAAAATGAGTGAATCAAAGTGCCAATGGGTCCCTAGTTTCCATCACAATGCATCACTAATTCAAATATGATGTTACTGGATTTCATTTATGTAATGACTATGGTTTTCTGGTTGTTTAATCCTTTTGGGGGACATTTTTGAAGGCTAGGAGGGCACTGAGGGCACTTAAGGGATTGGTAAGACTTCAGGCATTGGTGAGAGGCCACATTGTGAGAAAGCAAAGTGCAGACATGCTCCGGCGAATGCAGGCAATGGTTCGAATCCAGGCCCGAGCCTGTGCGAACCGTGCTCACCCGTCTGAGCCCTCACATTCTTGCAGCAAATCCTCCAAATCCCACCACCTTGTAAGTATTTCTCATTTAAAATTAGCCAAGGACGATGAAATAATTTTTATCTGATGTAATGTAGAATCACTTTTGAATTAAGAGCGTAACTAGTGTTTTAAATACGTATTGACTGATAAGAAACGGGATTTTGGACTTTTGATATCAGTTGATGTATGACTGTATCGCCGATACTAATATCTAGCCCGATATTGTTGCTTAAAACCATGAGTACAGCGATGTTATGCCTTTTCCCTACCATAAATTTGATCAATCTGTGATCAATCTGTGCTATTTTTTGCACCTGCAGGGCCTTGCAACTCCCAAAAAATACGAAAAGCCATTTCGTGCGTTTAGTACAAAATCTGATCGGTCCCCAGGTCTAAAGGTACTCTCTTAATTGATTTCCATGTTCATTTTAAATAAATAAGATTATTAACTTTGAATTTTTCTAATTTCAAAAGTTAATAAATTAAAAAAAATTGGAAATGACGGAGATGAATTCTAGTGGAAAATCCCTTGAATCCTTTTATTCCCATGAATGCAGAGATCAGAATCAAAATCAAAGATCAAGAACACTGTTGACCCAGAAAGGAATCCTTTAGGTTCGAATTGGTTAGACCAGTGGATGGAAGGATGTTCATGGAACAACCAAAGGGACACCTCACTAAAAACTGGGCACGCTGACGATGAGAGGAGCGACAAGATCCTCGAAGTGGATACTTGGAAGCCTCACTTGAACTCCAAACAACATGACCAAATCTTTAGCACACCACAGCATGTCACAGCATGGAATTCCAATAATCCGTGCGTGACAACATCCAACTCTCTATCAAGAAAATCGCAGAAGCAAAATCCACGCGTCTCATCTTTAACATCCTTAAAGTTTGCAACAGAAGAAGATCGAGCGGCCATGTGGACTAGTGAGAACAGCCCACAAGTGTGTTCTGCATCATCTAGACCTGGAAGTAGTGGTAGAAGAGGCCCTTTCACACCCTCTAGGAGCGAGTGTTCTAGAAGCTTCCTTAGCGATTACTTGGGACACCCGAACTACATGGCCAACACAGAATCATCTCTGTCAAGGGTCAGGTCCCAGAGCGCGCCCAAACAAAGAACGCACGTTGAAAATTTTGGTTCTACAAAGAGCTTTGTTCGCGGGTTTTGGGATGGAGACACTATTTCTGAAGGGGGTGAATTCAGGACCAAAGCAGGGAATTCCGGTCCTGGTGGCAGCCGCTAGAGGTGTGCTCATCCATTGTTCAAACTTTTTGAGGGAAAAAAAAAAAAAAAAAAAAACCTAACTTGACATCGTCAATGTCTATGTCGCTTGATGGACCTTCTTGTATTGTTTCGATGGATTGTGAAACAAAAGTTACAGCTGTGCTCATCTTCTTTTGTGGATTGGCTTGGAATTTGTCTTTGTTTTTGATCTTCCATGTGTTGGTTGTAGAAATGTTGAATAAGTGTGTTCAGATCATAGGAAAGACTATGATGCTTCTGTTGGTAGTATTGACTTTTTTTTGTTTTTGTACATTCTTAAAGAGAGAGCCTCTAATTTTCCATGTATTTTCTTCTACATTGCATTTCAGTCTTGATTTATACAATTCATTTTGTTTCTTTTTTATTCTGTCTTAAGCAAATGTCAGTGTGTTTGGTTTCAGTTTTTTGAAAACTGAGTTTTTTGTTTTTCGTGTTTTTTTATTTTTAGTGAATAGTTTTAAAATTTTAAATATTTTTTTTTTATTTTTTTAGGTGCACCTTGCTTAGATATATTTAAAAAATAAAATATTTGTGAAAAAATATTTTAAAAAATTAATAAATACACAAAAATATGAAAAATATTGAATTTTCGTATTTTTTTTTATATATTTTTGATATTTAGTGAATTTTCTAAAAAAAATTTCACGAAAATTATATTTTTTAATTGTATTTATGTTAGATGTGTCTAAAAATTTTAAAAATTGCTTAAAATATTAAAAAAAAATTCAATAAAAACAAAAAAATACGAAAAATAATAAAATAGAATTTTTTTAAAAGTGTTTTCAAAAAACTGGAAACAAACATGGTTCAATTTTTTTTTACTTTTTTTAAAAAAAAAAAATCAACTTATAGTTCAAATTCTTTCTTGATAAACCTTATCATATATCTGTTAACTCTAAATCACACAATATTTTTCTAGTTTTCAATTTTGAGAACTTAGAATTACTGTGAAAAAGTTTTAGCCCAAAATGAAACAGAAGAGAACAATCGACTTGAAACCAATTGAAATGTCGAGGTTAGTGCTAAGTGGGCCATTGCATAGATTAATATTAATTTAAAACAAATCAAGTCTTATATCTCAATCAAGTGTAGTAAGTTATTTCATTATTTTGTTTTGTTAAAGGTTATATGCATAGTTAAATTAATAATTTTTTACTCTTAAATTCCATGTGGATTTAGATCCTTCGATCCTAACATTTTCATTTATGATGGTTGTGCGGGGAGCAAATATTCCGGTAAGCCCGTACTTCTTTCTTCCGAGCTCCGTCGATGTCCGATCACCTGCGAGCAAGTAACGGTGAGCTACCCGGCGGTGTGTAGCCGGAAAAACCCTCCGACGATCAAGTTAGCACACACCTTAGGATGGATAGAGAGAAGGGAGAGAGTGTTTGAGTGTAAGAATTCCTTACAGAGATGTTCGTGTGTTGCGTATGGGGGGCGCAGACATGCTTATATACCTTCTGAGCCCCATATCCACTCCCAGTCATCTCCTGACACGTGGCTCTGCTATCCCATCTGTCAGCATAAACCATGCCATTCATCACCTAACCTCAACTGCCTGTCATCACAGCTGGAGCTCGGCAGCCGAGCTGCCCTATCCGTTGTTGTGCCATGCCGTGCTCCATACCCTAGCACTTCAGTGGCCAAGACTGAGGAGGACCGGGCTAGGCGGCATCTCGGCAAAGCCTAGCCAGAGGTGCCTCCACTGGCCAAGACTGAGGAGGACCGGGCTAGGCGGCATCTCGGCAAAGCCTAGCCCGAGGTGCCTCCTGGGGTCGGCCTTTTTGCCGGTCAGACAACTTCCTCGGATGTCCGCGCCTTCCCGGGCGCCGGTCACTCGGCCTATCTGGCTTCGGCCATCCTCGGACCGAGCATCCTGGTCCGACCGAGCACTGCCTTGCCGAGCAGTTTCTGTCCGGTTCGGGGTGGCACATACAGCCCGAACTCTGCCCGGCCCAAGTTCTGGCAGCCCTTCTCTGGGCGAACAGTCGATCATCTCGGCCCAATGCACTGCTGGGCTTTCAACCTGCTCGGTCGATATCTCGGCCCAACTTCAGATCATAAATCACCCTCTCAATGGTTATATCACATTTTCTTTATCATTGCATTATAGATTTTCTTGTGAATAACCAAACCATCTTAAGAGGTGTTTGAGATGTACCTAAAAAAATAACTTTTTAGTTAAATAAACCAAAAAACCTATTTGTCATTAGCTAAAAAAAGTAACTTAACTTTTCTACTCACTTTTTAACAACTTTTCAAATTCTAAAAAAATTTTAAAAATTGCTAAGAAACCCAATTCTAAATTTTTCCTTAATTTTCTCTCAATTTTTCTTTGATAAAAACTACTCTTATCATTTCATGAATTGTTCCAATCACATTAGTGTCAACTGGACATAAAATTCCAAATGTTGTGTTCAAATTCAACTGTGCATTCACAGAGTCACTTTTTCAATTGCTTGCACTTTTGGTGGGCTTTATGTCCTCTCAAGGGTTTGTCTGTAGTTGTAAATGGGAATTAAGCTAAATGCAATTAGTCAAAAAGAACAGACGAAGAATTTTGTAGTGCCCAAATCAAACAAATGCAAAACCTTGGATACCCACATCATCAAACAAAAACAACAATAACAACAAACCTTTGAATTGTGTGTAGTGGTGGTAGAATTTTGAATCCACTTAACCATGATCTTCTCTTTCTGTCACTTCTTGGCTTACTAATATTAAACTGTTCTTGTACATTTGATTAAAACTTAAAAGTTGTTGGGGGACTCCTTTGCTTTATTTTTTACATATTTTTTCAAAAATATGATTTTTTTTTTTTTTCCCCATAAAATCCTTTCATGTGTTTGGTTATAACCTTAAAAATTACGCACCAGTAGTTAGCAGTAATGGTGGTGTTGGTGGTTGTAGAGTAGCAAGTGACAACAGAGGTGCAACTCAATTTTTTTGAAAGTCTCAGATTAAATATCAAAATGAAACCTTATATAATTAAATCCTTGAAAAGTTGAGACCTTCGACTATAAGTTTTTAAAATATTTCTTGGGGTCTTTGGCAATAGCCTAAATGGCTTAATGGTTGAGCCACCTCTGGTGTAGTGGTGTTGGTAGGGTAAGAGAGTGGTGGTGGTAGCAGTAACCTGTGATAGGGTCAAAATTCTAACTTGGGTAGAGAATATTGAGTTGAAGCCTTACCGTGGTCTAAGGGTGTCAGTGATGTGATTCAATGTGGTTACAGGATATAACTAAAACCGAATTGTGGATGGCAAATTGACAAATATGTTATTCGTAACCAAACCATGGTTTGGGTTGGTAGGGTAAGAGAGTGGTGGTGGTGGTAGTGGTGGCAGTAAGCAGTGATAGGGTCAAAATTCTAACTTAGGGAGAGAACATTGCGTTGAAGCCTTATCGTGGTCTAAGGGTGTCAGTGATGTGGTTCAGTGTAGTTTGAGGATATAATTACAACCAAATTGTGGATGGCAAATTAACAAATTTGTTATCCGTAACCAAACCATGGTTTGGGCAGTTTCAACCTATTAGTTGATTGAAGAATAATTTTAAACAATTATTAAGTATTTGCATAATATATAATACTAATTTTTATAATATTATATATATATAACACTAATTTACATCAAATTTCATATCTTAAGTCTCTCTCACATAGATTTTTACTTTGATATTTCATTAAAAGTAATATATATATATATATATATTAATCATGGTAGGGAGGAGTGATTTCAAAGGTAAATTATAAATTTCAAACTGTGGTCAAATCGACCCGCGATTAGTGGACAAATCAATATAGATTTTACGACTTTAACAAACTGAATGATATTTTGCATCGTCCTAAGGATCTATCATAACCTAATCATACTTGATTTTCATTTCGTTGAGACAACTTGTTGGAATTATGGTTTTATAAGGTTAATTTTGGGCCAACTTTGAGTCCAAATTTGAGTGGGTCCCACACGTATTTTGGGATGGGTCAAAAAATGTGACGTGTTCCTTGTCGCATGGCAAATCACACGGTGAAGACGGTTCATCAAAACCATTTATGAGCGAATGGAAAGTTGACGTCATTTTTGGATTCATAGAATGGACTATTAAAAAATAAAATGCGGGTTTCGTTATAATGGTAGTCCCACATTGGAAACTTAAGAGAACCTATGTGTGTATATAAGTTCTAGGTGGCAACACTTGAGTTGAGCCCCAAGGGACACCCCAAGTTTATAGAAGGAATGAGTTATGGACAAAGTGACCTTTGGCTCAAACCACCATGTGCACCGCTATCCGTCGGGGCGCGATTGTGGGTTAGGTCAGTTTTAACATTAACTTTTTGGACAAAATTTATTTGAATTTTTTCAAATTCTTGCAAGAAAGTTATTTGAATTTCTAAACGAAATTAATTTAATTTTTGTGCCAAACTTTTCTGTCCAAACAGTGCCCTTTTTAGTCCATTTTCCAGCAGGTTCAACAGGTTTAAACTGTTGTAAACAGGTTGAAAACTGCCCAGCAGTTCTGGACAGTTTCAGACAGGTTTAAAACTGCCCAGCAGTTTCCAATAGATCTAAAACTGTTTTGTATCTGTTCAGTTTGAAAATCACACATGTTCGGATCTATCCAACTGTCACAAGTTTGCCTATAAATACAAGCCACTTTCTAGCATTTTGGAGATCCAAAAAAAAGTATTCTTGCTTCCCTTTTTTGCTCTTTTGCATTATTATTCTTCATATTAGTTTTAGGAAAAATTTCAGAGAGTCTAGAACACAGGTTCTAGTTTGCCGTACAGATTGTTTGGAGTGCTATTACAATCTATGAAGATCATTGTATCTTAGGAGATAGACGTCATTTATCCGTAAGCACTTAAGTAGGGTGAATCTGTCTTAAGAACAGAATATCACACACTCAATTTGATCTTTTTGTACTTATTCGGTTCGATAAATAAATTCTATAAGTAATTTATTGGGTTACTTACGTGTAGGTCCTAATAAGTGAACTTATTGTTTAATAGATCCTATGGAAAAAAAATTTCATAAAAAAAATCACTAATTATAAGTTTTAACGATAATTTATTGAAATCATGACAAAAAAAAAGTCACTAATTGTCAATTTTTAACTATGTATATTAAAAATTGTCACAAAAAAATTATTTTTAGCGACAATTTTATCAAGATTTATTTTCCATAAGACTTGATGGGAATTAAGTCCGACTATTAAGGCCTATTGGTAGTTTACTCTAATTTAATTTATTTTATTTATTTGATTTGGTTTCAATTTATTTATGTTACACAGAAGATTGTTCCAACACAACAAAAGTCCATGTGATGCCAAAGTTATATGTTATAGTTATGCTCAAATTAATGGATAATTTTCTTTTAATTGATTCTCTATTATTTTATTATTATTAATTTAATTTTCTTATTTTAACTTCTAAACATGGTTAATTAATCATCATAATGTAAAATGTAATCACATTTTGTCTCCATGAAAAATGAGAGCAAAACTATACCAAGAGACGCCTAAAAAATAGATATAGAAAGAAGGTAGAGAAAAAAAATTGAGAGAGAGGGGTCATCAATGGGATAGGCTAGACTTATCCGGCCTGTAATTATTGTGTTCATGTCTCACATATTAATGGTATTTTCGGGTTTTGACTAGTCAACATATTGGTACGGGTCGGTCTTATTTTAAAAAATTAAAATCACATCCTATCCGTAAGCTCAAATCTTACATGCCAAAATCAAATTGAACAGAGTTACACATTTTTTATTGGACTTATATTATTAAGTTATACACATTTATTTTTTCTTTTTTAATAAATCATATGATCAAATTAAATAATACTATTAAAACAATCAAATTACAGTATAAATTCACTAAATTAATAAATTATGGCAATGCTATATGTAAAAAATTGAGAGTTAGGAAGACATCACTGGTCAATGTCAAATTCAATTTCAAATTTAATAAATTGTGTTTTGTATATTTTTTTTTAAGTACAATTTACAACTATAATATGGGTTGTCAAATATTTTTTGTTGTTGTTGTAAAATAGAACAATATTGATTTTAATAGATTAAAATTGAATTTAACAGTGTTATTTTTTTAGATAATATAAATTTTTTGGAAGTGACAAGATAGTTTGAGTCGGGTTGATGGATTGGTAGGGCTAGATTTACACATGTGGGCTTGTACGGCGCCGGGTTCATTGGTGGGCTCGTGTTTCAAACCTTTGTCCAAAACTCTAAATGATATTCTATGAGATAGGTAGTCAAGCGAGTTAGGACAGGCCACGAGACGAATTGAACGGATTGGATAATACCAAATTTTTTTTTTGCCTGCAGACCATTTGATGACCCCTACTTGCAACTTTAAAAGAACCAATTAGAAAATATTTTTTATTTAGAAATAAAACTACAATTTCAAAAAAAATTGAGGAGGGTCACGTTCCCCTCTTGATCATCATGTGGCACCACCACTAGCCATAAGATTCTAATTCAAAAAATGTTTTCACTTTTATAAAGCAAAAAAAAAAGAAATTCAAGCCAAATCAATTTATTATTCGTTAACTTTCGTTTTTTATATGCTAAACGCTAAAAAATAGAGATATAAAAGAAAAAAGTTTTCTATGATAATGATGAATATCAAGAAAAAGAAGCAAAAGGCTTTGACATGATCAGCTGTAGAGTTATACATAGAAATCCTAGAATATAATATTACAACTTTTATTAATCTTTCCAGTTTGGATTTTACTTGAAAAGCTAAAATAGTTCCTCCCTTTCCTCTACAAACTGAGAGGACAATCATCTACTTATTCATGATTCATGCTTTCACAGAGTAGTCTTTGTCTCAAAGTGCCTTAAATTTCAACTCTACATGATGCTGCACCATAAAATGTAAAACCATGTGAGAAAACCTGCAATATAAAAGCAAGATTTTGCAGGGGTGTTTAAAAAAGTCGATAATATCAGTAAAGTAAATCGATTTGGTCTAAAATGTCAGTTTGGTTTACTTTTGTTAGTTTCGATTCTTAGGCCTCGTTTGGCAATCGAATTTTTTAGTTAAAAAGTCAAAAAAATTACTAAATTAGCCAAAAAACCAACAACCCATACCAAAAAGTCAAAGATTCTCTTTTCTCTCTACTTTTTATACATCTTTTCGTAAAAAACCAAAAAATCATTCCAAATATACTATTTTTTTTTAACTCATATTTTAGCCAAATAATTAAATGTTAGAACTGTCAATATCGATCCGGTTTGTAGTTTTAAGGCTTTGGTTCTGACTTCTATATTTGTTTATTGTTATTTTTTTAATGTTTGCATTTAAAACAAGAGGGTATAAGTAAGTAATAACAGAATTGTACCTAGAAAAATATTGAGAATTTCAAAGATAAATTACTAATACATCTTAATAGATGGACTTAATTCTCATAAAATCTTATAGAAAGATTTTTATTTTTGTTGTTTTTTTTTTTGGAGTCCTAATAAGATTACTAAAAATATTTTTTTGTGACGGTTTTTTACATGTCACTAAAAATTGATAATTAACGTCTTTTTTATTGTGATTTTTATAAATTGTTACTAAAACTTATAATTAGTGACGTTTTTCTGTGACAAAATTTTCAAATAGTCACTGAAAGCTGAAAATTAATAACTTTTTGTGGTCACGATTTTTTTAAACTGCTACTAAAAATTATAATTAGCCACGTTTTTTGTTACAAAATTTTCAAACTGTTGCTGAAAATTAACTAGTGACTTTTTTTTTTTTAAATAATATTTGATAAAAAAATGCCGTGAATTATCACAAGACCTATTAGATAATAAATTTATCTATTAAGGCCTACACCTAAGTTTCCGAATTTCAATTCTATAATGCATATTTAAAATTATCCATGGCATTGTGCCATAATGGTTTGTTCTCCAACCCTCATACTGAAGGTTGAGTTCGAGCCCATGTGGGGCGTTGGGGATGATCCCATCTCCCTTTTCTTATAAATTAGACTAGTGTAAATTCTAACGAATGATAGTACATAATTGAAGTCGATGTTGTAAGATCACACTTGTAGTGAATCTTAATCATTGATGATAAATTTGGATACTTTTATTTATTTATTTATTTGATTTTGGGTTGGAAGTACTATTGAAATAACAATATCAAACATTAGTCTTGATCGTAAAATTAACAAATTTCAACCAATTCAACTATGCTAATTGTTGTTAATTTATTTACTTTTATAAAATATATATATGCCATCATTCTTGTTATATAAAATTTCTAAAACGTAGAACAAAACCAATTTTTATGATTCAGTTACATAGGCTTAACAATTTAGTTATAGTTTCAATTTTTTTAAAATTGTAACTGTTCGATTCCTAACCTACTGTAAAATGGAACCAATCCGGCCATGAACACTCCTCAGCTTTTGTGCCACACTCAGTTTAGGAAACAATTGGGCCAAGGTCCTCCTTCAAACCAGATAAAATAAAGTATAATATTAATACAATTATATCCACTTTATTTTATTTTTTTTATTTACTCTTTTCTCTTCTTACATTAAATTGGCAAATACTCATTACCCGTATTAAGCCTCCCAACTTCCCCCAACTTGGACAATGTGAAATTTCTCCAAAATAAATTTAGGTTTATACTAACGTAAATTACCAAAAGAAATCAAGAAAACATGGTGATATATATTATATCAAAATTTCATGTCATGAATTTTTTTTCTTTTTCCAAATCCAATTCATAATTTTTTTGATCAACAAATATGAGGCCTAGGCCATAAGATTAGGTACATCTATATCTAATTAATTCTAAACTACAGTGACAAGAGTTTCGTACACTTAGCAGAGAGAAAGCTTATGAGTGGCAATATATCTAACTAATTTTAAATCTTATAGTAATAAGAGTTTCGTGAGAGAGAGCTTACAAGTTGCAATCAGTGTTGGGATCAATGGTGAATCCAAGAAACACACCACAGAAACCAGGCAAAGTAGCTATGGCAGTAGCATTAGCACTGTTAGTAATGAGTCCCATAAAGCACCTACACACTGACTGCCTGTCATCACTGGAATCAGCCAGGCCATTCAGTCTCCCCACTGCCTCGCAGCATGGGGATCCTGGAAATGGGTCCGGTGAACCGTACCTGACAAACATCGAGCACGCTGAAACCAGCAATGTCACAGTGGCACAATCTATCTCTGCCTTCACCGATACCAACTTCGATAGCAACATAAGCACTACTGCTATCATCGCCACCACTTTTCGCCTCCCCATTGCCTCACAAATCCCTCAAATTAGAAATAATAATAACCTTTTACCACTTCACTTGTATCTGTTATAGTGTTGAATGTTGATGAAAGTTTGGTTGGTGTGGAATGAGGAATGTGTGCGCCCTCTATTCATGAAGCTTGAATGATCAGCTTCTACTCATGCAGGTGATTCTGGGCATGTCACATTTAGACTCTGTTTGGGTGTACAGAATATAACTTATATTTCATTCATTTTTCTTTTTCTGTTTCTTTTTTCTCTGCCAATTCTTCATTAAATTCTTAAACCAAACACAGCCTAAATGGACTAGGCAAAGGACTCCCATCACTACACACAATTTCACTGAGAACCATTTTTGTCAGGGATTATATAAAACTAAATTTGTCAGAATCTGGTTTATGAAACAATTGAGATCATTTCATTCCAATTTCAACAAATGGGTAGTCAGCACTTTTCTGAGTATCTTTCTCACAGCTAAGAGAATGGCAGCAAACCGGAAGCTTGACTGGCTAATTCTAAACCCTCGTAGTGCATAAATGCATTTAACGAGTTTTACCATTAAAAAAAGAAATTGGCTCGACTCATCAAACCAAGCTGATCCCTGCAACGCATAAATCATAAGATGACCTAATCCCTCCATATGTAAAAGTCTTTAAGAGACCTGGAGAATTGGGGAAATAAACAAGGCTAGCAAGAACGGAAAATAAGTTATAAACTGGGTACTAAATTTCTATTTGATATACAAGAATATCCCAGTGCCGTGTGCAAGTAAATACCATACTTTAAAAAAAAAAACAAAACAAAACCAAACCCAGAAAAAAAACAAGTATTGAAAGCAATCCAGACTATAAACTAAAACTAATGATTTACAGATGAGGAGCAAATTATGAAATCAGATGACATTGTGAATCCAAATGAGAGAGAAGAGAGAAGATCATCCTAAGGTCCGTCACACTTCCATTTACTTGTGGGTACACAGCTCAGGTAGTGACACCAGTGGCAATGATCATTCGCATTAACTCCTCGGAATAACATCACCAATCCTACAGCAAATCTGTATAAAACGATGTAAAGTCAGTGCTTGTTTAACACATTAGCCATAAATAACACACATTCATCACCAGAATGCAGAGATAAATGTTTTCTTCTACTTCTAACAATTCAAAAAGCACAAAATAATCTATGCCCTAAACATCGTGTTAGCTTGAAGGATGCAGATTAATCAATGCATAGGGTGATTTTTCCTCCTCTTATTACAAAATTCAAACCCACAACAGGAACAAAAAAACTTACAACATAATAACATATGCAATTGGTCACAATGCCAATAATATATATATATATATAGGCAAATGCTAACAACTGAACACTTGTTCATATTGCAAATGTGATTAAAAAGTGTTTTGAGAAAGTGTAAAGAAAAGAAAATTTGTTGTGAATTGTAATCAGTGTCTCAAAATCTAATTTTTGGTCCTTTACTAATGCTCAAGGAGTACTTGTTAGCAAGACCCGTATACATATATATAGCCATTTAGTTTCGTAATGCAACCAAAATGAATGAATCAGTGTGACAACACCACAAAACACCTTGAATGTATAACATGAACAATACATGCAGGCTTTTTTAAACTTACCCAGCAACAAGAAGAATCAGAGAAACCGACCATAACACGTACTGGTAGGGCTTGTATTTGGATTTGACACGGACCTCAACTGGAAGATTCCGACGCGTTACCCATCCATACTGAGGACGAAGCAACAAAATAAAGCCTAGGAAAAAACCAGAGACGAATCCACCAATATGGGCAAAATTATCAACATGCGGCAGAATTCCAATACCTAGGTTGATAACTACAATGACAATTAATGTTAAGAGCGCTGCAACCTGAAAAGGGAAAAGAGAAGTTCAAATATATTGTGAGCCTGCCACTGCTATTTAAATGCAACAACAAAGCCAAATATTATCTTATGATATCAATGACAAATGTAAGGTCATCAACAGTACAAAAAATACTTGAAATCGGCAACATGGCTTAGCGATTGCTCACCTTGTTGGTATAAATAGTCCAGTTGGTAATAAGCTCTGAAAGCATTGCTCCAAGAAGACCAAAAAGAGCACCAGAAGCACCAACGGAAATGCTCTTTTGAAGGAACAAAGCGGAAAGTATGCTCCCACCGAATCCTGATAACAGGTAGATGATTCCAATACGAACTGAAAATTTTAATCCCAAGGGCCAAAGGTCAGAGGACAAGATGACTATTGTTTTTTTTTAAACATTAATTAAACAAAAAAAATAAAAATAAATACACAAAACATGGTATAAACCAAGTGACTAAGTGATAACATACACAAACTGAAACAGAAGTTCCAGAAATCCAACGAGAGAACAGAAGATGAAAACAGAAGTATTCTTCTTGAATAAAATGATATAGAAATGAGATTTATAACTTATACAAAATTTATTCTTCATGAAAATTTTCTTACTAAATGAAAATTCCACAAATCTTACAATACTGACGACACTCAACTTTTTCAAGCCAAAAGGTTCGACAATAATTTCAAAAACAAGGAAGAACGCAACATACCAAAGCCAAACTGTTGTTCAAGGCGAATTCCAATAAAGACCAGGCACAACATGTTCACAAGCAGATGAATAATACCAGCATGTACCCAGATACAAGTGATAAGCCTCCATGCTTGGTGTTTGTGCACCACTTTCGTCCACTCAAGAGCTCCCAACTTCTCCAACCTACATAAAATAAGAAGAAAAAAATTGATTACTATTATTAAAAAAAATTGATTATAATTATTATATCTATTTTCCCTTTTGTCCATGTAAAAAGCAAGCGCATATAACAAGCAAAAATACCCAAGTTATATTAAGTTTATGTTTTAAGTCATTAGATAGAGTCATTCTCCAATAGCACAACCTAAAAAAACACTACACTACATACAGTAAACCAAAAACGGAAAAGGAAGGCAAAGCCCTAAGTCCAGCGAGAAAAATAAAAACAATGACAGAAGCATACGCAACACCATATTCAAGGAAAGACACGTATATTTCTGATATAAAGATAAAGATGGCTCGAATTAAGCATAAAGAGTGGATACATATTTTGACTCCAACACTGCACATCAACGTTGACGTTACATTCTTTTTTGCAGCAATAATGAATACCATGCAGCACTAAAAATGTACAAAGATTCATCACAAGTCAAGTCACCATTTATTTTTCCTTTCAAAATGCATTGGAATATAAATCTTTGGTATTTGTATAGAAAAATCAAGGATAAATGGAGCAATTCACAAACTGTCTGCTCAAACCCAAGTGAGAAAAGGCATTAAAATGCTGAGAACAACTTGGATTGCAATCATAATCAATTTAATCACAATACTTTCAATTTAAACACAGGCAATTACCCAAAAAAACCAAGATGAAAGCAGAGCAACAGTAATCAATAGTTCTCTCCCAGAAAGCAAAAACAAACTTCTTTATTCTTCTGAAAGATTGGAAAGTGAAGAAAAGGGACTTCACTAGTACAAACTGTCATACTGTACATCTGTAATATAAAACCCTAGAAATCACTCAGACGCGAAGAAGACTCGCACGATCATGTCAAATAACTACACAAAAGATTGCAATTCACAAATTTTCAGCGCAAAAATAAAGCAAAAATTCAGTGTCAGTGTTACAGAATCATTGAATTGTCTATAAAATTTTGACCCAAACAACACCCAATCAATAAAAAAAAAAAAACTAAAAAACCACTCATCCCACACTCAAAAAACCTAAATTTCAACCCAGTCCAATCACAGTTGACAAAATTTCAAAAGAACATAAACAAAAATAAATAAATAAATAAGATCAGATACTGAACAATCAAATTTCTAATTTCAAAACATATAATTAACCAATACACACACCAAAACCCCAAAATTTCAAAAATTCTGACAACAAAAACACAAAAAAGCAAAAAATTGAGACATGGATATGAAAGAAGAGATCAGTACGTTGAAGAAGAAGGACCAAAGAGAGGATTTTCATTCAAGGGTTGAAAAGAAAACCGGCCGAGAAACCTCGCGACGCACTTGCCATCAGTTCCCAATTTGTGTTTAGGACAATCGTTGATGTACATAGCGACAACGAACAAAGCAACGTTGACAACAACAAACATAGGGATCAACCATGATGTCCACTGTGCATCTCTCTCTTCAATCACATACGCAGAAACAGAACTGGCGTTGTTGTTCCCACCACTGATTTTCGCTCCCCTGCTCTCCAAATCTTCCCTCGACATGGCTTTTCTCGAGAAACAAACAAATCAAAGAAAAGGGCTTTCTTTTAAGTGGGTGGTGGAGGAGAGAGAAAGTGAGGCGTTTTAGAGAGAGAGAGAGAGAGAGAGAGATATAAGCAGAGGAGGAGTTGTTGTGACTCAGCGTGAAGATGACGAAGACGTGCGAAATTCATGTGGAAGTTACCCAGGACTTTCAAACGGAAAACTGACCAATGTTGGATTGCCACGTCATTTAAATTGGTTTTTGATTGGTTAGTTTGGTGTAATTGTTGTGGGGGTTACAGCACTGGATTGAAGTTTAAACCGTGCTTTCTCGTAAGGGAAGTTTACATTTCGCGGTAATTGTGAATGTTGACGTGTCAGTTACCAAAAGTCGGTTTAAAATTGAAAACCGACATTAACCTAATTTTTTAGGATTATTTATACGAAGACCTCTAAATTATTAAAAGGTATAGTTTTGATTCTTTAAATTATAAAAATATATAAATAAATCTCTAAATTATTAAAAATAATCATTTTGTCTTTTAAATTATAAAAACGTATAAATGGATTAAAGGTGTAACTTAAATAGACTCAGCAAGATTAAAAGAGTTTTTTTTTTTGAACAAGTTGAAAGAAAGAAAGATTAAAAGGATTTTTTTTTTTTTGAACAAGTTGAAAGATTGTTCAAGTTTAATCCGAGTAATGTTGAGAGTTTAAGTTCGTCCAAGCTCGAATTGTAGCCTGAGATTATCTGTCCAAATTTGATCCAAATTAAACCCGCATTGCCAAATTGCACATAAATTTTAATTGTTTTTTTAAATTGTAATTAAGTGAATTAATTTGTAAAAATGATACTCCATTTATATTTTTACATAAAAAAATAATAATTTATAAAATGTGAGAGATATCGCGATGATGGTCTTTACAATTTATAAGTAAAAAATATATATATAATTTAATACTACTGTTATTTATGTATATAATACATATTTAATATGATCTAACAATCTAAATTATTTTAATATCATCTAATAATTAATAATTTATATATATATATAATCAAATAAGGTGATTGATGCTTGAACGCTTTAGGCCTCGTTTGGGAAGTGGCTATTTTAGTTTTTGGTTATTTTAGTAGGCTAAAATTTTTGTGTTTAGGAAGATGATTGGATTTTTTTGTGATTGGATGTGATGTTTGTGAGAGAAAAAGTGAAATGATTATGGGTTTGATGTGATATTTTATCTTATTAGCTATTTTAACCTATTTTGTCTTTTTGTGATTTTTAGCCTAAATTAGACTATTTTTTTTCTTCCCAAACACCCCCTAATCTTTCACCTTCAGTCAAACTAACATCCTATAAATTAAGTTTGGTATACGAAATTTGTTAAATGCTCACCGACATATAAATTACACATAACTATAACCACGTAAAATATTGTGATATTTTGGGAAGGTTGTAAAAAGTCGACTTTTTAATTTTTTTATGACTTTTTTGACAAAAAAATTGACTTCTTTATCTAAAAAAATTAAAAAGTAAAAAAATTAACTTTTTTAACCTCTTCCCAAAATGTCCCATTATATATCATGCCATTTATGAGTTTTGTATAAAGATGGCAATGGAAGAGTTTGGAACGAGTTTAACTAGTATTTTCCAAATATTGTGTGATTGTGTATTTAGCCAATGACATTTTGTGATTTTTCTATTTTAATTTTAGTATTAGTATAGGGTTCTTTACTTAGGGTTCTTTACTCTTGGACAAGCATACCACTAATAATTATTTGTAGGGTATGCCAATTTGAAAATGAAAAGCAAAAAGATAAGGACAACATAAAAAATATAAGTTTATTTTTTTAACTATTTTTTTTTTTTTTTAAATTCATACTCAAATTTATAATCTAAACATAATATTGGGCTCAGCTCTGGCTTAAACCAGCGTTAGGCCTAGATCTTCTTTAGATGGGCCCTGAGCTCGCTGCTTAAACCCTAACCCAGCTTGATTCTTGAAAAACTTAAAAAAACTGATAAATTTAAGTACCCAACAAAAGGTAAAGGCCACATGTTGGCCCAACAATTCGAGTTAGACCTTGTTAACCTTTTTTCCAAGTGAAATCATTAATACAATTTAGGGGTGCAACTTGGATGGGCTCAACCCGAACAAACTACTGCACTTTGTAGATTGAACAATATCATTCATATGGTGAGATTTATTATAAGTCTTATTTTTATAATTCTAATCATTCATTTTTTAAATCACAAAGTCTTATTTTTATAATCCGACCAGTTTATTTTTTAAATCATAATATTATCAATCCAATAACTGTAACTCTATTAGTTTATCACATTTATTTACATAAAAATAAACGATAAATATTATTTGAAAACTAAGCTATCCATTTTTCTAGAAACAGATGTGACAAATGATTATCTCATCGACCTAATTTCTTACATAAATAATTTACACATTGTAATCTGAAAAAACAAACGGCTACAAAAGTACTTGCACATAGATAACATCAAGCAATTCAAAAAAATATTTATAAATAAAAATGAACGGCTTTGATTTTAGATCATTTCAACCATTCCTTCAAAATAAACCATAACTAAAAACAAATGTATATTAAAAAAAGTTTTGTGCATGTAAACTAGTTCCAAATGTAAGCATGCCCATAAATTCCAACTAAACAAGAAACTAAAATCGTTAGCCCATACAAAGGCTCCATTTGGGAAGAGCTATTTGGGGTTTTTTTGGCTATTTTAGCCACAAAAGACAAAATAGGCTATTTTAGTCACAAAAAATAAAACATCACATCCATCTCATAATCATTATACTCTTCTCTCACAAAAAAAGTCAAAAAAATCAAAAAGCCCTTCCCAGACCAAGCTTTTTAGCCCAGGCTAAAATAGCTAAAAAAGTCAAAAAGCCAACCCACTTCCCAAACGGCACAAAAATCATCAAGAAACTTTCTAGCTTATTAGAAAGCGGGAAACAATGGCTGTTTATCGCTTTCCACCACCACCTCCAAGCTTGGGGCCCTTTGGTGCAGCACCCTTGGCATTACCTTTGCCTTGTGACTTCTGTGTCTTGGTGATCACCTCAGCTTTCTTGGCCTTCTTTTCATCCTTTGTTTTCTTAATCCTCTCCTTAATTTCACTATAATTTACAGAATAAATAAAATTCAGTTAACACCATAATAACAGTTGCATATACAAAACTGCAAGTTCTAAGATGGAAAGACTTTATACTGGAGGGCTGCCTCCCTGGCAGCATCACGAACTTCAGGTTTCTCGGTTCTTCTCTTTTGGATAACCTCCAAGGTAGCACCAACAATAGACCTTGAGTAAGGTTTCTTAGTAGCGCGACGCCTCTTCTTAACAGCTTCTTGAGCGGCGTCCTGTGAGTGTTTGGAGGGGAAACAAAATTGCAAAGATCAAATAAGTCGATTCACAGTAAATAAAAGAGTGGTGGTATTCAAACATAAAATTCATGGAGATAACTTATACACGATGACTGGGAGTTTTAATTACACCCCATTATTGTCTCATTACATCTGTATGTACATCGCTCTCTTAATAAACTCCATGTGTAATAATGCAAAAAAGTGAGTTGTGAGAAATTTAAGTGTAAATAGAAGCTGCCATAATGACTTGGCTGGTTTTGAAGAGCCCGTTGAGATGCTTTTAATTACACAAATGCCATTACCACATCATTCTAGTGCAATAACATTTCCTAAATAAAATGATCTGAAGTAGAATGAAAGGAACTAACTCTCAATATAAAGATTGAAAGCAGAATGGTTTGTTTACAAATTTCAATTACCTTCTTATGCTGCTTCCTGTACATGGCTGTCCAGGTGAGCATCGAGGGCTTCAGTCTGTTGTGGAAGTACCTCTTGCATTTTGAATTGGAAAAGAGGAAGACCTTCATTGAACCAGAAGTTAATCATTTTCAATATATAGAATATATAAAATAACCCTAAAAGGGATAGGTAAGAACACAGGACTGCATCATATGCTCCCCATTGACATATAGTCTTCAAATAGAAACAGCCTAACATATTACCATTGATCTTACCTGAGAGTCTGAATGAATAAATCTGATACCCTTGCCAGGGTATCTCTTGGCACCACTGAAGCGGCAGAGTTCAGTCCTGAAATCACCAAATATATAGAATACACAATATTCTGGTAACCAAAATCAAGCATATTTGGAACCTAACACAGTTCATAATCTATTGGAGGAAACATGCCTCCGCCAACTAAGTAGAGACGAAAACAAGAAAATATCACAATCACTGTTAATCAGCTTTCAAGACCAACCCATATTTCTCATTCAGCAAACCAACAAAATATTTAGATATAAAATTGCACATGTGCACCGTATGTTATATATACAGAAGAAACATGTGAGCATCATAGCGAGCCAAGAACGGATGAAAAGGCTGAAGCAATTGGCTTTCTGAGATGTCTGTAGTCTGCTGTAAGATCCACAAGACAGCACCTATAGGATTAACGCAAATAGAGGTCACAGGCCAGAAGCTATCTGTGTCCCCCTGAGGATCTGTTTTAGCGTTTTCTTTTCTTTACCCTTGCCCTTTATGTACTGCCCACTTTAGCAGTTTTGATTACATTGTTTTTTCTTTTCTTTTTATTCTTTTGGCAGCTGGTCTGTATACCATTCCAAAGCCTTCTTTAGGTAGTTGGTCTGTATATCGTTTTGAAAGCCAAGGCGCTCCACGCTCCACACCTCGTATTGTCAGATGCCTCTCTAATATATTATATGCAAACCATGAAACATGTTATTGTGGCTGGCTTTCCTTAGTGAATTGATTGACAAAAGTCCATATATACAAGCTCAAACAAATGTCACCCACAAGTTCAAACAACATTGACAATAAAATTAACCTCATATTCCAGATCACAAATCAATAGAACATTGGGCTAAGTCAAGGATCAGAACATCTGAGTTAGTAGAAAACCTTTGCACCAGCTTCTAATAGCATAAAGTACAAGTATTTATATTTACAAGTTTCCAAACTAATCTCATATTTGTAGTCTATGCATTGTTGGTAAATGATCAGCGTGCATATAAAAGACCCATGGAAATCAAATGTGTCCACTGGTAATTATGAAATCCAACACAAAAAATAAAAATAAAAAAAAGTGTTCATTACAAATATAGGGACAGTGAATACAGCCAATCCATTGGTAATCATATAATTGTTCAAATCAACACAGTTTTGTGAATTCTTCACTACTGTTAGGAATATTGATTCATATTTCTATATTTGCCTAATGTCTACAATAAAATTACATTACACCTAAAAATATGCTAATTAGATCCATATAGAGCAACCCAACTTATAAAAAGCCCTAATCAATTTATGAAAGAGAGATGAAGTATCAAATGCTTTATCTGTTTTCATGCCCATTCCTCCATTTTCTAAACAACCAAACAGAAAAGATTCAAAATCATGACTCATAAAACCCACACTACAAAATTAACAGGACAAACAATTGATCAGTCCAAAAAAAAAAAAAATTACTTGAGAACCATGGCGGGCGGCAGCAGCAGTAGCTACTCTCCTTGCAGAACAAACCCTAGAATCGGAAATTTCTCGATCTATGGAAATATATGGGAGAGGCTCCTCTCCAGCTGCTGTTGGGCCTCTGTGGGCCCACCACGGAGTCCGTATCGATGATTTGAATCGTTCATTGTGTAGAAATCGTCAAGTATTTTATCTTTACAAAAAAAATTATGTTGACCAAATATCAATCCAATATTGATAGCAATTTGATCAAGTCATATTTGTATAAATAATTTATTTTAAAAATTATACTTACGGTTAACACAAACGTGTTATGATCGAGTGACTATCAATATCCGATCAATATGATTTTTTTTTATAGTGATGAAATACTCAACAAATTTTACATATATTCCGATTCGAATTATCAATGCAGGCACCCACGTAGGCTCAACAACACTTTTCAATCTGATATAAACTGAGAGAAATTGTGGCCTATATATAGTATTTGGATCATCCAAAACCTTTCCTGCACTCTACATAAGATTGAGACACGTGGTATCTAACAGATCCAACCATTCCAGAAGAAAACACGTCGTGCAGACCTCCTCAATAGAAAAAACGGTGTCGTTTCTCACTCTGTCTCTATAGAACCATCATACTTTGATTTCAACAATCATACTTTTGTTTTGATTAAGGTTTTGTGTTAGTTTGATTAAGGTTTTGTGGAAAACATATTTCTCTGTGTTTACCCAAACACGTTAGTAGTGAATGGATCTTTTGCATTGCAAGTGTACGGGGAGGAAATAACTCTCCTCGTATAATCCTGTTGACCAAGTCCACGCTTCTCCGTACGACGTCGCTTTGTCCCTTGAAAACACAAACGTGAGCTAGCCGGCGGGTGTGTGCCGGAAACCTCTCCGATGCCTAAGTCAGAAAACTTGACAAATAGACAAAGCTCTAAGTTCTCAGAAAGATTGTGTTCAAATTACCTCCTCCAAGGTGATATTTGTGGGCTTTTATAAGTTTCCCGCGGCACAATCCTAGTAGGACTTGTATTTCTCCATGCAGAGTCCTCCTAGGATTCATACTCCAAAGGATAATGCTTATCCTTTTACACCCTCCCCCACTGCTTAAACCAAGTGGGATGGTTTTCTCTTTGGCCGAACTACTAGTTGAACGAAACAAAATAAAAATTTGGAAAATGCATGAGACCCCAGTGGGGGTGCTAGGGGTCCTTTTTTTGTCTTTTTTTTACTTTCAGCCAATGGCAGTGCCCATGTGACAGTGAGGGTCACTGGGTCTCCCCCACTGGGGGTCCCAGCAAAGTCCTTGGATCATCCCAAACCTTTCCTGCACTCTGCATAAGATTGAGACACGTGGTATCTAACAGATCCAACCATTCCAGAAGAAAACACGTCGTGCAGACCTCCTCAATAGAAAAAACGGTGTCGTTTCTCACTCTGTCTCTATGGACCCATCATACTTTGATTTCAACAATCATACTTTTGTTTTGATTAAGGTTTGTGTTAGTTTGATTAAGGTTTTGGGGAAAACATATTTCTTCTTTGTTTACCCAAACACGTTAGTAGTGAATGGATCTTTTGCATTGCAAGTGTTTGATAAAATGCTTCAATCAAACCAACATATACACACACACGAACCAGCATTTATAGAATTGTGTTTCTATGCTATATACATACACACACAACACACGGGCCTTTCTTTATTATCCTCTCATTTTTTTCACTTTCCAGCCTCTCAGTCAGTTTCAGGTGCCTCTCTCTTCGTTGTCATCTACTTCACATTTTCTAGGTTTTGGATTTTGGGTTCCTTATTTTGGGATGGCGACTCACCTTAATTTTTGGACTCTTGAGTTAAGAAAACAAGGCACCCTTTCTGAAAGAGTAACCATGCATACTTCTAATTTAAGAGTTTTAAATAGAGTTCTAATGAAATAGAAGAGAGAGAATAGAGAGAGATAGAGAGAGGAGTATAGGCTCCACCTTTACTTTACTAGGTACTCTTCATATCATTAGAGTTATATTAGAGCTCTCAAATCAAAACTCTCAAATATTATTGTTTCTGAAATATGTTTTTTAATATGCATAACTTGGGTTTACAATTTTAAAAAGTATTTTAATTTGATACGTTAATTTTTTATTTTTTATTTTTATTTTTATTTTTTTTGTACTTATTTACATTGTAGGTGTTTAACTCGTTATTATGTTTTTTTTCAAAGGTTGCCAATCTTCCCATACTACGCCTTTAAATCCAGAACATCTTGGAGGTCAATGAAGATTGTTAGAAGTGAAAGATTGTTGATGACGGGCTACTGATGAATTAAATTATACAGGTCAATGAAGATTGTTAGAAGTGAAAGATTGTTGATGACGGGCTACTGATGAATTAAATTATACTGTAACTATCAAATGTGTGTGTTTTTTTTTCTTTTTTTTGCGGAGATTACAATTTGGAAATTTTTATTGCCAATTTTGATTGGGAGAATTTTTTTTTTTTTTATCAATTTGGATTGTGAACATTTTCATTGTTATATGATGGATTGAATCCTAAAAAATTGATTTTGGGATAGAGCCTAAACCCAACATTTGGTATACCTGAATCAAAATAGCCGTTGTAAAGAAAGATTAATTTCCATCCTAATCTGTTATTTATCAACCAAATTTGATCCAATTCTTTGTTATATTAACAAACTTGGGTTTTACAATTCAAAAAGATTAGAAACTTCTGGTTTTTTTTATTGATCAAGTAGATCGGTGTGCTTCCAGCCATTAGCAGTCATTGTTGATGAGAATTGAATTTTTAATTGAGTTTTCATAACTTATTTTATTTTATTTTGAAAAAATAAATTTTAATTTAACAAAAATAAACAACAATTTTTTAAAAAAAATTCAATATTTATTTCCTTTCTCCAAAAAAAGTGACAAACAAATTAAAATAATGAGGATTATTTTTTTTCCCACCAATCTAGTTTTTGATAATTTAAAAAAACAGATTTCTATTTAAGTTGGTCTTTTTTGAAAAATATCTTGAAAAAACAGCTGAAAAACCAAAAATTAAAAATGTTCATAAAGCACTTTTAAAATATGCATTGTCAAAACACAACTTTGGTTAAAGTGTATTGTTAGGAAATCTTTGTTTTGTGGAGAATTTGCACCAAACAAGTTTTAAAAGTTGGGAGAATGATATTTTTAATTTTTATTTTTTTATTGTTAACTTTCATTTTGTAATAAATTGTACCGAACAGATCCAACACGTTATTCAATTTTTAGTTGCTTTGAGGTTCGAGCATTTGGCAATAGGCCAAAAAAAATCAATTTTGCTATAAAAAAAATTCACTAAATTATTTGTCATTAGTTAAAAAAATCAAATATCACTACCGCTTTTTCTCTCACAAAAAAAAAAACCAAAAAAAAACCTTTCTAAACGTGTTGTCAAAAAAAAAGTCAAAAAACAAGTCACTAAATTTTTTTTAAAATCCAAACACCAATATCCTTTGGTGAATAAAAATTTAATGCATTTGTTAAATACTAAAAAATATTTTTTGTTATTAGAAAATAAACTTTTTGATTCGTTTTATAAATAAAAAAAGAAAAGAAAAGATCGGACTAGAAAGAATTGAAAAACAAAACTATTTAATATAACTTTAAAAAAATCACTTTAGATAAAAATAAAAAAAAAATAAAAAAATAAAAAAAAAATTATGACTTTTGTAACACTTTCCGAACATAATGGATCCTACTAATTACTTTTTACATAACCATCAAGTTTGGCGACAGTGAAAGTTATTAAGTGATTTTAAATTAAACATAATGTCCTAATTTAATAGTTATTAGTTCATGTAGTAAACCTCATAAATTTTTGCAACATGAGACAAACTATTTTATGATGGGGGTTTGGAAAGCGAGTTTTTATATAAAATTTTTTAATTGTAAGATATTATTAGAGAAAAAAAATTTAATGTTTGAAAAAATAGTTAGATTTTTTTGTAATTAGATGTGATATTTGTGGAAAAAAAATAAAATAATTATAAGATTAGATGTGATATTTTGTTTGGATTTATTTTTTTTAGTTTAAAAAAAAATTATCTTTTAGTGAAAAAAATCAAAAAAAACCCAACCCACAAACTTCCCAAACACCATACAATTCGAGATCCAAGTTAACTCTTTGGCCTGTAAACCATTGCCCATTCATATATGAAATAAAACTACACATATTAATCCAATCTTAACATGACTGGGAAACACTACAGCCTCAATCAAGCTCAAAGTTAAAGCCTACAAAAAGTACTTACAACATCAAGCAACTCAAATATATATAATAAACAGCTTTGTTTTAGAACATTTCAACCATTCCTTCAAAATAAACCACAAATTAAAATCCACTGGAGCAAAAATGTATTTTAAAAAAAAGTTACACATAAAATAGAGGGAAAATAAGCATGCCCATAAACTCTAACTAAACGAGAAAATAAATCATCCCACCGTACAAAATCATTGATAAAATTTCTAGCTTATGACATATACCCCAATAAGAACACAACAGCCAAAAATGGCCTTTCAACGCTTTCCACCACCACCTCCAAGCTTGGGGCCCTTTGGTACAGCACCCTTTGAAATACCTTTGCCTTGTGACTTCTGTGTTTTCGCAGTCACCTCGGCTTTCTTAGCCTTCTTTTCATCCTTGGTTTTCTTAATCCTCTCCTTGATTTCACTGAAATTCACAGAAGGAAAATGTTATTCATACATAACTTACATACAAAATTTAATACAAATGATGTGACAGTGACACTTTTGCAATTATGAAACCATAGTGATAGACATTTTTACTTCCAATGAATGGATATAAATGAGACGCACTGTACACGAATTCTGTTCATATATCATTACCCTTCATAGAATAAATAATTGACCACCCCAATAGGAGTTGCATAAACAAAAGCGCACTATTTCTAAGATGGAAAGACAATATACCGCAGGGCCGCCTCCCTGGCAGCATCACGAACTTCAGGTTTCTCGGTTCTTCTCTTCTGTATGACCTCCAAAGTAGCACCAACAATGGACCTCGAGTAAGGTTTCTTGGTAGTGCGACGCCTCTTCTTAACAGCTTCTTGAGCGGCATCCTGTGAGTGGTTGGAGGCGAAACAAAATTGTAAACATAAAAATAGTCGGTTCAAGGTAAATAAAATGATCTGGAAGTAGAATGAAAGGAACTAATTCCCAATACAAAGATTCAAGGAAAAAAAGCACTTTACAAATTTCAATTACCTTCTTATGCTGCTTCCTGTACATGGCTGTCCAGGTGAGCTTTGAGGGCTTCAGCCGGTTGTGGAAGTACCTCTTGCATTTTGAATTGGAAAAGAGGAAGACCTTCATTGAACCAGAAGTTAATCATTTTCAATATATAGAATAAATAAAATAACCCAAAAAGGGATTAGGTAAGAACACAGGATTGCATCATATGATTCACATCACAACCAAGATGGCATTGCCTTCAAATTACCTGAGAGTCTGAACGAATAAATCTGATACCCTTGCCAGGGTATATCTTGGCCCCACTGAATCGGCAGAGTTCAGTCCTGAAATTACCAATTTTTTTAAATAGCAAATACAAGATAGTATGGCAACAAAATTCAAGGACCCTAACATGTGTTCATAAACTATTGGTGGAAACATGACATGATTTGTCATGTTGTCAAGTTTCTGAGAATTAAGTAGATGAAGTACAAGATATCAAAACAAGTATAACAAAATATGACCATAACTGCTAACCAATTTTCAAAACCAACCTATATTTCTCATTCAGCAAACCACCCAAAAATTTTGATATAAAATTGCACCCGCATAGCGTGTGCAAACACCGCCATATATACATGTGGGCATCATAGCGAGCCAAGAGCCGAAGCAATTGGCTTTCTGAGATGCCTCCAGTCTGTTGTAAGATCCTCAATACAGCACCTCTAGGATTAATGCAAATAGAGGTCACAGGGGCAGAACCCATCTCCGTCCCCTTGAAGATCTGTTTCAGGGTTTTCTTTTCTTTGACCATGTCATTTTTATACTACCCACTTTAGTTAGCAGTTTTCATTGCATTGCCTTTTCTTTTCTTTTTTATTCTTTTGGCAGTCGGGCCAAATATTGTTTCAAAGCTTAAGCCCTCCACCCCTTGTATTGTCAGATGCCTCTCTAGTATATTATATGCAGAACGTGAAAACTTGTTATTGTGGCGGGTTTGCCTTAGTGAATTGACTGACAAAAGACCACATATACCAAGCTCAAACAAATCTCACTCATAAGTCTAAATAAGATCGATGATAAAACTACCCACACATTGCAGGTCACAAAACAAAAAGAAACAGAGAGTGCTAAGTTAAGGATGAAAACATTAATGACTTAGAAGAAAGAATTTTACACCAGCTTCTAATAGCACAAAGTACAAGTATTTATATTTACAAGTTTATGAACTAATTTCAAATTGAACCAATATTTGTGCGTCACTGTGTACCCCACAATTTTATGAAGAGCAGTGCTACTCTAGACCAAAAGTTAGAACCAACTTTCAAAGCCAATGATGCGGCAGTCTATTAGAAAATCTGACAACTCGTCTCTCTCATGTCTTCTCTAATCATCGGCCAATCACTCTGGATCATTAAAATGGGTCTACAAAGTGAGTTTCTATATAATTTTCCTTTTTTGAAATCAAACAAACAAGTGTGTTCATTACACATATAGAGACAATGAATAAAACATATCCAATGGTAATTATATAATTGTTCAGATCAACAACAACAGTCTTGTCAATTCTTCACTACTGTTAGGAATATTGGTCCGAATTTCAATATTTGTCTACTGTCTATAATAAAATTACACCCAAAAATATGCTAATTAGATCCTTATGATGTGACAGTGACACTTTTGCAATTATGAAACCATAGTGATAGACATTTTTACTTCCAATGAATGGATATAAATGAGACGCACTGTACACGAATTCTGTTCATATATCATTACCCTTCATAGAATAAATAATTGACCACCCCAACAGGAGTTGCATAAACAAAAGCACTATTTCTAAGATGGAAAGACAATATACCGCAGGGCCGCCTCCCTGGCAGCATCACGAACTTCAGGTTTCTCGGTTCTTCTCTTCTGTATGACCTCCAAAGTAGCACCAACAATGGACCTCGAGTAAGGTTTCTTGGTAGTGCGACGCCTCTTCTTAACAGCTTCTTGAGCGGCATCCTGTGAGTGGTTGGAGGCGAAACAAAATTGTAAACATAAAAATAGTCGGTTCAAGGTAAATAAAATGATCTGGAAGTAGAATGAAAGGAACTAATTCCGTTTGGTAAATGGGTGTTTGGGCTTCCTTTTCTTTTCTTTTCTTTTTTTTTTTAATTTTATTTATGGATCATTGATGGGGATGTAAAATTGGCCCACCATTCTGTAGGCCACTGAAGCCTGCCCATGGCCTGAGCTCGGGTCTAGTCTGGGACTTTGGATTTGGGCCTTATGTTTTATTGCCCGATTCGTCAACCCGATCTGCTTCCAACGACTCCCTGTCAATGCGTAGTATCTAATGGTAAAAAAAATTGAAAAATAAAATAAAAATTCTTCAAATGGACAAATGATCGTTTCCACTAAAGGCCACTAATTTTTTATTTTTTATTTTTAAATATAAATTAACCCTTCATTCCTTTCAACTCTTATAAAGATCATATCTCTCCCATTTTATTTCTCACAAACAAATTTCTATCTCAAACTCCCATTCTCTCTCAACTTGTTCAATTAATTTTGAAATCTCATTCCTAAGTGGCAATTGCAATTATGTAAGAATAAACTTTTATTAAAAGAAACTAATTTTTTTTATCACATTCGTCAATCAGTAATATTAATTATTTGAATTAATATTTATTAGTTAGTCATATTTTTACGTTAATTATTTCGTAAAATATATTAATTATTATTCTAAAATTCATTATTGTTTACTCAATATTTTAATTAATTGTTAATTCATATATATTATTTTACTTACATTACTATATGTTGGTGATAATTACAAATAAAACACCAGAAAATACAAATAATAAAAATTACAATAACTATTGTAAGGGCTGAGGCGCGGGAAATTCGCTCTCTTTAAAAAAATTCAAACCCTCTGCGGTTAGACAAAGCCTTACACCGGTACAGCAGAAAAAAAACCTTGACTTGTCCCCCCAGGATACAATAGCCCGACTAAGTCGTATGGTTAACCAATACTGCACAATTGGTTGAACTCAGAACTTTACACATACACCCATTTTTATTTGCCTGATAATCTCACAAATAAGAAACTTGAGCTACAATAAGAGAGGTGAAAGGCTCAATTTATAGGAGAGGAAACTTGGTGGACAAGTGTCTTGGAGAAGAGGAAACTTAGCGAACAAGATTCTTGGAGGAAAAAAAGACTTGACTTGGTGGGCAAGACTTAGAAGACTTTGAGAAGAAGACTTGACTTGGAGGATTCTTGGAGGAAAAGTATAGGAAGTTGCTTGGAGGATTCTTGGTCACCAAGAAAATGATTAACTTTGAGGAAAAGAAAACAAATCAAACCAATAACACATTATAATATTAAAATATCTATTAACATTCCCCCACCTATTTTAATATTATAGGTAACAAAAAAGCTGAGATTATTAGGCAATTAAAAATATTATGCATCATGGTAGATGTGCTCTCTATTGAACCTCCATTAGTGAAACAATAATATCTACTCTAGAGCCAATAGTATGCTCAGCATTGAACTATGACTACTTAAGGGAAATAAATAATTATTGCACACACATAATATTCCAAGTGTTCACGTAAGCTTTAAGAGCCAACACATTACGGTCTTGTGCGATCCCAGGATTCATGAGTGTGTTTGAGAATTAACCCAAATCTCATAGGTAGTGGCCTCACTACCACACTCACATAGGTGAATTCTGTCAAGGCTGCTCTTGTAACTATAACACCCCACTCAATATGAGCTACAGAAATTCATTAAGAGTTTTTTAACAACTCAAACTCTACAACGTTATAGAATAAATGTACTTACATCATAGGGATGGGTAAAAAGTAATTTAGTGCATTTCTCACGGCCATCATATGATCATTTTTCTCATTAAACCCAGTTATAGGATCTCTGGTTCCTAGGTTGAGTATCCTCATACATGGCTCCTGCTATATTCAATGGGCTTCAACCCCATTCCCCTCGATGTATTCCAGACTCTATTTCTTGCTAAGGCCTTAGTTAATGGATCTGTAAGATTATCACCAGATTTAATATAATCTACATTTATGATAACATTATTCATATAAGATTTTACAGTACTGTGTTTTCTTCTGATAGGTCTGGATTTACCGTTATAATAACGGTTATTAACTCGACCAATTGTTGCGTTGCTATCATAATGAATCAATATAGGTGGAATCGATTTTTCCCAATAAGAGATTTCATTTAATAAATCCCTCAACCAATTTGCTTCTTCACTAGCTGTAGCTAAAGCAATAAGCTCAACCTCCATTGTTGAATTAGCAATAATGGTTTGTTTTTTCAATTTCCAACTTATAGCACCACCTCCCAATGTAAATAAGTAACCAGTGGTTGATAATGAATCACCTGACAAGGTATTCCAATCAGCATCATTATAACCTTCAAGTATTGTAGGATACTTATAATAAAACAAGCCATATTTTATGGCATCAGATAAATATTTCATAATTCGCTCAATAGCTTGCCAGTGATCACTGTCAAGCTTGCTAATAAACCTAATAAGTAATCCAACTGCATAGGCAATGTCAGGTCTAGTACAGTCAGTCGCATAACGCAAACTACCAATCATACTAGCATATTCCTTTTGATTAATTACATTCTCATAATTTTCAATAGGAAATAAATGCACATGAGGATCGAAAGGAGTAAGAACATGCTTGCACTTATAAAAATTATATTTTCTCAAAATTTTCTCAATATAATGCAACTGATCAAAAAATATACCATCACAAGTTTTGGTAATTTTCATTCCCAAAATATAATTAGTCTCACCAAGATCTTTCATATCAAAATGGCTACTAAGCATATTTTTAGTTTCCATGATGATATGCAAATTAGAGTCAAATATAAGTAAATCATCCACATAGAGGCTAATAATGACATGCGAATTTTCTTCAGATTTATAGTAAATGCATTTATCACATTCATTCGTTTTATAGCCATTCTCAATCATACAGAAATCAAATTTCTCATGCCACTATTTAAGGGCTTGTTTTAAGCCATATAGGGATTTAATTAGCTTGCACACTTTGTTTTCTTGACCAAGTTCCACAAAACCCTCAGGTTGATCCATATAGATTTCTTCACCCAGGTCTCCATTTAAAAATGTTGTTTTAATATCCATTTGATGGATTTTTATATCATGAATTGCAGCCACTGCAATTAATAATCTAATGGATGCAACTCTAGTAACTGGAGAAAATATATATAAAAAAAAGTTAAGATCTGCTTATTATTTAAAACCTTTTGCAACAAGTCTTGCTTTATATTTATCAATAGTTCCATTCGGTTTAAGTTTTTTTTTCTCAAAACCCATTTATAGCTAATAGTTTTACAACTTGGTGGTAAATCTACTAATACTCAAGTTTTATTGGA